TCTGGGGTTTCCACATAAAGTATCATGTCGTCTGTGAAAAGAGAGTTTTGACTTCTTCTTTGCCAATCTGAATACCTTTTATTTCTTTTTGTTTTCTGATTGCTGTTGCTAGAACTTCTAGTACTATGTTGAAAAATAGTGGCGAGAGTGGGCATCCTTGATGTGTTCCTGATCTTAAGGAAAGGCTCTCCGCTTTTCCCTATTGAGGATGATATTTGCTGTGGGATTTTCATAGATGGATTTTTTTGAACTTGAGGAATGTTCCCTCTATCCCTATACTCTGAAGAGGTTTCATCAGGAAAGGATGTTGTATTTTGTCAAATGCTTTTTCTGCATCAGTTGAGAGGACCATATGTTTCTTCTCCCCTCTTCGTATTAATGTATTCTTTCACATTGATTGATTTCAGAATGTTGAACCACCCTTGCATCCCGGGGATCAATCCCACTTGGTCGTGGAGGATGATCCTTTTAATGTATTGTTGGATCCTATTAGCTAGGATTTTGTTGAGGATTTTGGAATCCATATTCATCAGGGATATTGGTCTGAAATTCTCCTTTTTGATGGGGTCTTTGCCTGGTTTGGGGTTTAAGGTAATGCTGGCCTCATAGAATGAGTTTGGAAGTTTTCCTTCCGTTTCCATTTTTTAAAACTGCTTCAGTAATGTACGTATTATTTCTTCTTTGAATGTTTGGTAGAATTCCCCAGGGAATCCATCAGGCCCTGGACTCTTGTTTTTGGGAGGTTTTTGATCACTGCTTCAATCTCGTTACTGGTTATTGGCCTATTCAGGTTGTCAATTTCTTCCTGTTTCAGTCTTGGCACCTTATAGGTTTACAAGAAGTCATGCATTTCATCCAGATTGCTCAGTTTATTGGCATATAGTTGTTGATAATAATTTCTAGTAATTGTTTCTATTTCCTTGGTGTTAGTCGTGATCTCTCCCCTTTCATTCATAATTTTATTAATTTGGGTCCTTTCTCTTTTCTTTCAGATAAGTCTGGCCAGGGGTTTATCGATCTTATTAATTCTTCAAAGAACCAACTTCTAGTTTCGTTGATTTGATCTACTGTGTTTCTGGTTTCTAATTCATTGATCTCTGCTCTAATCTTAATTATTTCTCTTCTAATGCATGGCTTAGGCATTGTTTGTTGCTTTTTCTCTAGTTCTTTAAGGTATAGAGTTAGTTGGTGAATTCGGGATTTTTCTATTTTTTTTGAGTGAGGCTTGGATGGCTATGTATTTCCCCCTTAGGATCGCCTTTGCAGTATCCCATAGGTTTTGGACCCATGTGTTTTCGTTCTCATTGATTTCCATGAATTGTTTAAGTTCTTCTTTGATTTCCTGGTTGACCCAAACATTCTTGAGCTGAGTGGTCTTTAACTTCCAAGTGTTTGAATTTCTGCCAAATTTTTTCTTGTGATTGAGTTCCAGTTTTAGAGCATTGTGGTCTGAGAATATGCGGGGAATAATCTCAGTCTTTCGGTATCGGTTGAGACCTAATTTGTGACCCAGTATGTGGTGTATTCTGGAGAAAGTTTCATGTGCACTCGAGAAGAAGGAGTATTTTCTTATTTTAGGATGGAATGTTCTGTATATATCTGTGAGGTCCATCTGGTCCAGTGTGTCATTCAAAGCTCTTGTTTCCTTGTTGATTTTCTGCTTAGATGATCTGTCCATTGCTGAGAGTGGAGTATTGAGGTCTCCTACAATTAACATATTGTTATCAATATGACTCTTTATTTTGGTTAACAGTTGGCTTATGTAGGTGGCTGCTCCCATGTTGGGGGCATAGATATTTACAATTGTTAGATCTTCTTGTTGGATAGACCCTTTAAGAATGATATAGTGTCCTTCTGCATCTCTTATTACAGACTTTAGTTTAAATTCTTAGTTGTCTTTATAAGACTTGCTACTCCAGCTTTCTTTTGAGGTCCGCTGGCATGGAAGATGGATCTCCGTACCTTCACTTTCAGTGTTGATGTATCTTTAGGTTCAGAATGAGTCTCTTGTAGGCAGCATATGGATGGGTCCTGTCTTTTTATCCAGTCTGCAGCCCTGTGCCATTTTATGGGAGCATTTAGGCCATTCACATTGAGAATGATTATTGAAAGATACGAATTAGTTTTCATCATGTTGCCTGTGAAGACATTGTTTTTATAGATTGTCCCTGTAAATTTCTGTTGTATATGACTCTTGGGGTCTTTCTCCTTTTATAGAACCCCCTTAATATTTCTTGCAGGGTCAGCTTAGTGATCACATATTCTTTCAGTTTCGTCCGGTCTTGGAAGCTCTGCATCTCTCCATCCATTCTAAATGACAGCCTTGCTGGATAAAGTATTCTTGGCTGCATGTTCTTCTCATTTAGTACCCTGAATATGTCTTGCCAGGCCTTTCTGGCTTGCCAGGTCTCTGTGGATAGGTATGACATTATTCTCATGTTCCTCCCTCTGTACGTAAGGAATCTCTCCCCCCTAACTGCCCTTAAGATGGTTTCCTTGGTTCTAAGATTTGCAAGTTTTATTATTACATGCCAGGGTGTTGTCCTGTTTTCCTTGATCTTAGGAGGGGTCCTCTCTGCCTCTAGGATGGGAATGTTTGTTTCATTCCCCAGATTAGGGAAGTTCTCAGCTATGATTTGCTCAAATATATCTTCTAATCCTCTCTCTCTCTCCACGCCTTCTGGGATTCCAATTATTCTGACATTGGAACATTTCATGGTGTCACTTATTTCTCTGATTCTATTTTCATGGATTCTGAGTTGTTTTTCCCTGGCCTCCTCTTTTCCCTTTTTATTTATTATATTGTCTTCCAGGTCGCTTATTTGTTCTTCTGCCTCAGTTACCCTAGCTGTTAGATTATCTAGATTGGATTGGATCTCATTGATAGCATTTTTAAGTTCTGCCAGTTCAGCTTTTATTTCTGCCCTTAGAGACTCAGTGTTGCCATTAATTGATTTCTCCATTCTAGTCATTGTCTTCACAATTGTTAGCCTGAATTCCATCTCCGACATCTTGGTTATATCTGCATCCATTTGTAAATCTTCAGCATAAGTCATAATTTCTGAGTCTTTTCTATTTTGGGGGCTCCTCCTCCTAGTCATTCTGTTGATGGGTATTTGAGGCAATGTATAGAGTCCAAATTATTGACCAGAACCCAAGCAAAATGCACCTGTTTTTTTGGGACCTTAGGGTTGTTCGCCTCTTGTTTTCCCAGCCTATCTTCTGTGGGAGGGGCCTGCTGCGCTGTTACTCAGGCATCCCTGTTTGGGTGGAGTTGCCCTGCCCCCCTGTGGCGTGGGAAGGGCTTAGCGGGAATCAGTTTTTGGGGCTTTTGTTCTCTGGAGGCTTTCCCTGGCCGCTTTCTGCGTCTCTTCCGTGAGTCAGAGCAGAAGAAACCGTTTCCAACCCTCTGCCTCAGAGCAGAGAGATCGCAGTCTGTTCTTCATTGAGCTCTCCAGGCCACACCGTGTTCGTTTCTGTCGGTGCTGCTATAAACTGCAGCGTCCTGGGTTGTGCGCCCCTCCGCAGCGCTCCCAGTCCTGCCTCCAGGTTAGGGCACGTCTCTGCCCTGTGTGCTTCTAAAACCTCCAGCCGCTCCCAGTTCGCACACGTGACCCCGCCACTCTGGGTTTCCGCCCAGGGTGCTGCCCTAAAGTCCTTTCCCTGCCGCTACCGGTCTGCGAGTCTGTGCCCCGTCCACAGAGCGCAAGGCTGTCGCTTACCGGTGGTGTAGGAAACCCACGGCCAGGCACCCTCCCTCTGCCGTTTATTCTCTGATATCTGCCTGTGGAATCACGGCTCCCCGCTTCGTACCTCAAAACGAACCGCCTGTGATGTTCTGTTTGTAGAGATCCAGATCTTCTTACATCTCAGGCTGGTTTCGTGGGTGCTCAGAGTGGTCTGGTAGATACCCAGCTCAATTCTGGGGACCAGTTGAAATAGGGTCCCCTACTCCTCTGCCATCTCCCCCCCCCAATTTTGGATATTATATTAAAGGTTTTAATTTTCATCTCATTTAAAAAAGAGCTTTTTTAGATTTTTATTTCATTAGAGAAAAATACAGAGAAGCCAAAATGAAAACAAAAAACAAACCAAGAATCTGTCCCACCCCAGAACCAGAATGGATGTTGTAGGTGTGACTGAGTATACTTTGTGGTTCATCATACAAAGAATAAATAAACGTGAAGAGTTTTGTAAGAAATGGGAAGCCCCAGTACAGATATATAGTACAGAATTAGAGAATTCTGGTTTGCCACACATCTCCTACTTAAGGAAGTTAATCAGAAGTCCAATTTCTACAAGGTTTACCTGATCCTAATTAGGAGACCTCTGGGTTCTCTAAAACAGAATGATAATCTTCACAGGACTATGGAATGAAGAATAATAGTTCACCTAGTTATCAGCAGGAATATTGTCCTTGCTTTACTTATCAAAATTAAGTGAATAGAGTAGCCATTTGTGTGTGGGTGTGTATGTTGGCATGGGTTATGGGTTATGGGTTTGGGGCTTTGGTGGTGGTGGTGACAGTGTCTATATAATTGTCTGTATGGGTATATATGTAGTGTATACATATAATTGTGTATAAATAATTAAATATGTTTATAGAAAACTTAGCAGTTTTTTCATTGTCTTTACTTGAGTTCTACCAAGGTTTTCTCTCCAGCCATTTTTTTTTAAACCAGGAGTCAAATTTTGTTCATATTCCCTGTTCAATGCCCATATCAAGTTGTTCACAATCACATGATCAGTGGCATTTGATCAGTGGAGAAAGCTCTGAGTAGGCCAAAGAGATTTTTTTAACTCCTTGTACAATGGAAAGTTACCTTTGGGATCTGAGAGGCCATCTTTTATTTCAGCCTAGTATTTCCAATATCCCAGTTGTTTTGAACTCCGAGGTAGCAATATTGAGATCATTTGAAGGGTCCAGGGTGGTTTGCTGATGGAGATCAGTGACTTAATTTTTTTTCCCTTTTCTTTACTCTTATTTTTTATTATTACAGAAGAAGCTATTATGGTGGAAACTGGGCCAGTTTTAGCTTTTCAGGAATACTGTCCTGGCTAAAGGAATACCAGGTAAACTTCTTAGTTGATTTTTAATCTACTAGGTTGTATTTTGTATCACATAATAACCCTACGTTAAGGAAAACCCTAAGCTTCTGTAATATAGAATTGATTCCTCATTTTTATTTATTTAACAAAAATTATGCAGTCATTTTTTAAGTTAATGTTCTTCTGATGCTTTCAAAATATAGATATCACTTTTTAAATATACATAGACATGTTGGCTGAAGAGTACATCATATATGCTTGATACCATTTTCTCATTACATTCCCAAATACAAGGCAAGATATTTTCTCCAAAATAGTCTTTCAGAAAAAAAATTCAGTCCTCATAAAATCTCACATATTACTAGTTGCTCTTTCAGTAGTATATTTTGAGGAAAAAAAAAAAAAAACAGCTATTCGGGGAGGGGGGCAGTACATTAATTTGAAATGGTCTGCGTCATTGGTAGTTTAAAAGTCATCTGACAGAATTAGTAAAAACAAAAAACAAGGAAAAATTTAATATAAATTTAGTAAGTTTTTTCTAAGTTAGAATCTCACTACTATAAATATTGGATATCATTGTAAAGAAGTTTTTTAGAGGACATGTATGGCATAGTAATATGGAGAGTTGGTTATGTCCTGGATTTTACTCATTTTTATGACAGATGAAAAAAAAACTGTCCTAATTTTATGTGAATGGTATATGTGGCTTGAAAAGAACTTCCTACTGAGAGCATCATGCATGGAATCAGAAACTGCTATATCTCAATAGCGTTTAGACAGTTGGGAAAGGAGTATGATATATTCTATAAAATTGTATTCAGTTAGCTAAAAATAATATAGCTAAGACTTATTAAGCACTTACTGTGTGCCAAACACCACAATAAGCATTGTAGTTGTACTGATTAATTTATGCACTTAAAAAAGTGCTTCTAGGGGTGACAAAGCCATTGATGTTGAAGATGCAGTGAAGATTCAGTTTGAATAATACCGTTGCATGAAATGAGAGTGTGGAGAAACAAGTAATGTTTGGAAAATAATATTGCAAGAAAGTAAATGTTACTAGTAGACATTTAACTATTTTATGTATGTGCCTTAAATATTTGTATATTTATGTTGATCATTATTCTTAGGAAGTATGTATAAGGGTTATCTTATTTAGTATATTTAGCATATTTAGTACTTCCTTGAGAAAATTTAGTCTAGATGCTCACAAAAAGACAACAAAAATACCTCATTTGTCTGAATGGAAAATTCTGGTGAGTGAGGATAATTTTATAAAGTAAATTTTGATACTAGGTTAGATTTATTAAAATAAAAATATTTTTGTAGATGTTTCTTTTATTTTAGTGCTGCTTCTACTCCAGCATTCTCTTTCTACCGTATCCTTTCGCCCTTCACTCTTTGTGTGCTGATCCACAGTCTTGTCTTCAGGTTGGAAACCCCATGTCTACACATTCAGAGTTCCTGTATTTCACTTCCTTTTCTACCTATGTTGGGATGTTTAACACTATCTAATAATTACACTTAATAATAACAATGTCTGCCCTACTTTTCTTCAGTTTAAAATGTTAAATTCAGGAGAAAAAGGCCTTTTTATTTATTTGTTTATTTTTAAAGACTCTACCCATTTTTGACAGAGAAAGAGAGACAGGTACAAGCAGGGGAAGCAGCAGGCAGAGGGAGCGGGAGAAGCAGGCTTCCCACTGAGCTGGGAGCCTGATGTGGGGCTCGATCCCAGAACCCTGGGATCATGACCTGAGCCGAAGGCAGACGCTTAACCATCTGAGCCACCCAGGCACCCCGAAAAAGGCCTTTTTAAAGATTTATTTAAAAGAGAGAGAGTGCATGAGCTGAGGGAGGGGCAGAGGGAGAGAGAGAGGGGAAGCAGACTCCTTGCTGAGCACAGAGCCTGACCTGGAGCTTTATCCCAGGACCCTGAGATAATGACCTGAGCCAAAACCAAGAGTTCAATGCTTAACTGACTGGGCCACCCAGGGGCCCTGAGAACAAAAGCCTTTGAAAATAATTATTGTCCTATTTTATGAAATCTGCAAGTTTAGAAATTTCTTGAGGTGAATGTACTTAAAATGAAGAATATTGTAGTTATATTTCCCTACTAGTTCTTTGAGAATATATATTCAAAAATTTTTTTCTCTGAGAAATATGTACCAAATAGTTTAAAATTTTAAACGAATTAAAAATTGATCCTTGACATTTGGAAAAAGCATATCTTGACATTTCCAAAAATCCCCTGTATTCAGATATTGCTACGCATATAACTTATTTCCATAAAATATAATTAGGAATTATTAAAAATTTTGAAGGGCCACTTTCAACCCTTATAAGTTTACATACATTATCATATATTATTGTTTTTATTGTCTTCCTGAATATAAAATATTTAGAGGTTGATTATTATACAGTCCTTAGTTACAGTAGGCTGCATACTTTTCAAAAATACTTTTACATAAAATCAGAATTTGGCATGGCTAGTGACTAACCTTCAATGACCTAAAGGTAAGTAGAATGAAGTAATCGTGGGCCTGCTTTTGGACAACAAAATGCAAAAACTTTGTTAATAATAACAAGTAATATGTATACCAGACACACTTGATTTTCAGCAGATAGAGGGTTAGTTATCCTAGTTCTTAAGTAATGTCAAAACAGGCACATCCAATGACTGCATCAGAATGTCAGATATCCTGATAGAAAACTGTAAACCAGAGGTAACATTTGAGAGGATAGGTTTTTACACAATTTTCTTCTCTTTGAAGATGGCACACTATGCTAGAGTCACTTCAGAATTTTGATGGAATCAGAGGCAAAGTATTAATTGAGAAAGGTATACATTTTCACAAAAAAGTAGAGGTTCAGATTGCACAATTTAATTAACGTTTCTCATCTGTATTTTGTTTAGGAAAATAGTGATGTTGTGAATGAAAGCCCAGCATGGCAAGAGCAGATTCTTGAAAATGAAGAAGCCATTGCTCTTAGCAGGAAGGACAAAACCATTCAACATGTGGAAGTGTTTTGTTATGCCAGGTATGAAAAGTATTTATTTAGGATAAACTGAGTTAATGACTTCTTATTCACATCTATTCAAAAGAAGCCAACATATAACATTGGTTGCTAAACGTCAATTGATAAGATGGTTTGCCTTTTTAAAAATATAACTTTCAGTTTTTTCTGCTTAGATGATAATGGTGATAATAACATGCCACATTAATGACTTGATTCTTACAACCATCCTGTGCTAGGATAGAGGAGGTAGTACTAGTTGCAGTTTTTATAGAATCCTCATTATATAGAGATTAGTTTGTTGAAGGGAAAAATGGCTTGAAAAATGTCCAAACCACATGTAGCCTAGATAGTGGTGGAGCCCAAGATCAAACCTCAGGATTATTTAATTCTGCTCCAGTGTTCTTTTAACTCTTCTTAGATAATATTCAGTGTAGCAAAATGGAAAATTATAAGTTTGAAATAAAAACAATTGGTCATAATATTTGGGGACATATTTTCAAAATCAGGAGAGAATATTGGGAAGTAATATTTTAAGTGTCTCTAAGTGAGAAAATTCATTTTTTTTAAGTTTTTGTTTTCCAGTTAACATTCACTATTATATTAGTTTTGGGTATACATTATAGTAATTAAACAATTCCATACATAGGTCACCAGGTGCTCATCACAAGTGCACTCCTTAATCCCTATGACCTATTCTACCCATTCCCCCACCCACCTCTCCTGTGGTAACAGTTTGTTTCTTGGTTTGCTTCTCTATTTTTTCCTTTTGCTCATTTGTTTCTTAAATTCCACATGAATTTAAACGCCCTGTAGTGGGATTGCTGGATCCTAGGGGAGTTCTATTTTTAATTTTTAGAGGAACTGCCATACTGTTTTCCACAGTGGCTACACCAGTTTGCATTCTCATCAAGACTGCAACAGGGTTCCTTTTTCTCCACATCCTCACTAACATCTGTTGTTTCTTGTGTTGTTGATTTTAGCCATTTTGACAAATGTGAGGTGATAATCTCATTGTAGTTTTGATTTTCATTTCCCTGATGATAAGTGATAATGAGCATCTTCTCATGTGTCTGTTGGCCATGTGGCTATCTTCTTTGGAGAAATGTCTATTCATGTCTTCTACCCATTTTTTAATTGGATTATTTTTTGGGGGGGGGTGTTGAGTTTTACAACTTCTTTATATACTTGGGTTACTAACCCTTTATCATATATATCATTTGCAAATATCTTCTCCCATTCTGGTTGCCTTTTTAAGTTTTGTTGATTGCTTCCTTCACTGTGCAGAAGCTTTTTATTTTGATGTAGCCTCAATAGTTTATTTTTCCTTTTGTTGCCTTGCCTCAGGGGACCTATCTAGAAAAAAGTTGCTATGGCAGATGTCAGAGAAGTTAATGCCTGTGGTCTCTTCTAGGATTTTTATAGTTTAGGTCTCACATTTAGGTTTTTAGTCCATTTTGAGTTTATTTTTATGTATGGTATAATAAAGTGGTCCAGTTTCATTCTTTTGAATATTGCTGTCCAGTTTTCCCAACACCATTTGTTGAAGAGACTTTTTTCCATTGGCTGTTCTTTCCTGCTTTGTCGAGGATTAATTGACCATATAGTTGTGGGTCCATTTCTCGGTTTTCTATTCTGTTCTATTGAATTATGTGTCTATTTTTGTGCCAGTATTATACTGTCTTGATCACTACAACTTTGTAATATAACTTGAGGTCTGGAATCGTGATGCCTGCAGTGTTGCTTTTCTTTTTCAAGTTTGTTTTTTGCTATTTGGGGTCTTTTGTGTTCCATACAAATTTTAGGATTGTTCATTCTCATTCTGTGAAAAATGCTGTTATTATTTTGATAAGGATTGCATGAACTGTGTAGATTGCTTTGGGTAATATAGACATTTTAACGACATTTGTTCTTCCAGTCCGTGAGCATGGAATGTTTTTCCATTTCTTTGTGTCATCTTCATTTCCTTTCATCAGTGTTTTATAGTTTTCAGAGTTCTGATCTTTTGCCTCTTCAGTTAGGTTTATTCCTAGTTATCTTACTGTTTTTGGAGCATTTGTAAATGGGATTGATTCCTTGATAGCTCTTTCTGCCGTGTCATTGTTGTACAGAAATGCAACAGATTTCTGTATGTTGATTTTTGTATACTGCGACTTTACTGAATTTGTATATCAGTTCTAGCAATTTTCTAGTGCAGTCTTTCGTGTTTTCTGTATAGAGAATCATGCCATCTGCAAATAGTGAAAGTTTGACTTCCTCTTTGCTGATTTGGATGCCTTTTATTTCTTTGTGTTGTCTGATTGCTGATGCTGGGACTTCTAGTACTGTGTTGAACAGCAGTGGTGAGAGTGGACATCCCTGTCTTGTTCCTGACTATAGAGGAAAAGCTTTCACTTTTTCTCCATTGAGGATGATATTAGGTGTGGGTTTTTCATATATGGCCTTTATTTTGTTGAGGTATGTTCTATCTCTACTTTGTTGAGAGTTTTTATCATGAATGGATGTTGTACTTTGTCAAGTGCTTTTTCTGCATCTATTTATTCTTTCTGATATTGATATGATGTATCACATTGATTGATTTGCAGATATTGAACCATATGGTTTTTATTTTCTTTTATTGATGTAAGAGAGTATCACCGTGTAATAGATCCTTGACATTCTTGTTGGCTACATCAAAAAATCTTTTTGATTTCCCTTTTGTAAATAATGAAAAAATGGTACAGGTTCTTGGCTTGTTGTTGTTGTTGCTTTTTTATATATGCATTATCAATGATGTTAATGTTACATTTTGTGGAGGTAGGGCATGAGTATGTGTTTAGTTTTGTATAATTTTAACATATATGTCAGGTCATGTATCCATCACCACAGTCAACTAACAGAAGTGAGCAGTTACATCACCCCAAGGATCTTTCCTGTTTCCATTTTATAACCATAGCTCATCTCCTTCCTACCATTTCCCCCAATTTCTAACTCTTGGTAACCACTAATCTCTCTTCCAGCTCCATTATTTTGTCATTTTGAGAATGTTATGTAAATAGAACTGTATAGTATGTAACCTTTTGCCATTGGCTCTTTTCACTCATTGTAGTTAACCTGCAGATTCATCCAGGTGGTTGCATGCATTAGTAGTTGGTTCCTTGTTATTGCTGAATAGTATTCCATGCTATGGACATACCAAGCTTCACTTATTCACCTGTTGAAGAACATCTGGGCTTTTTTCACTTGTGTCTGTTACAAATAAAGCTGCTATGAATATTTGTTTATAGAATTCTCTGTGAACATAAGTTTTCATTTGTCTGGGATAAATGCCCAAGTGTATAATTGATGGGCCATATGGTAATTACATGTTTAGTTTTAAACTGAAAAACTGTTTTCCAGGGGGGCTGTACCATTTTACATTTCCATCAGAATTTCATGATTCAGTTTCCCCACATGCTCCCCAACATTTGATGTTTTCACTTTTTTAGCCATTCTGATAGTTGTGTAGTGATATCTCATTGGATTTATAATTTGCATTTCTCTTATGGCTGATTTTGAACATCTTTTCATGTGTTTGTTTGCCATTCTTACATCCTTTTTGTTGAAAATCTGTTCATATCTTTTGCTCATTTTTTCATTGGATTGGCTTTTTCCTGTGGATTTTTGAGAGTTCTTTATATGTTTTATATATGTGTCCTTTGTTAAGTATGTAGTTTGCAAATATTTCCCCCAAGTCTGCGGCTTGTCTGGCATCCTCTTTAAGCAGGATATTTTGCAGGTGAAATGTTTTAAATTTTGATGAGGTCCAATTTATCACTTTTTTCTTGGGTATAGATCCAGAATATTTCCTCCTATTTTTCAAAAAAAAATTACAGTATGTTTTATGTTTAATCCCATGATCTACTGTAATTTTTGTATAAGGTGTGAGCTTTAGGTCAGTGTTAATTTTTTTAACATAAGGTTATCCGATTGCTTTGGCACAGTTTGTTATAAAGACTGTTTTTTCTCCACTGAATTAATTTGCATATTTGTCAAAAATCAGTTGGCTGTACTTTGATGGGTCTATTTGTGGATTTTATATTCTGTTCCATTGATGTGTATGTCTTTTCCCACACCAATACCACACTGTCTTTATTACTGCAGCTATATATTAGGATTTAAAATCAGGTAGAATAATTCCTCCAAATTGATTTTTTTTTGTCAAAATTGTTTTATTTATTCCAGAGTTTGTGCCTTTTCATATAAATATTCTAATAAGCTTTTCTTTGTCGAGAAAATGTTGCTAGAATTTAGGAATTGCATTAATGCTATAAATCAAGTTGGGGGGAATTGATACCTTTATTATTTTGAGTCTTCCAGTTCACTCACAATGTATGACTCTCCATTTATGTAGGTTGACTTCGATTTCTTTCTACAGAATTGTGAATTTTCAGCATCCCAATCCTGTGCATGTTTTTTTAATTGTAAACCTAAGTTGTTACTTCTCTTTGGGGCAATTATAAGTGGCATTGTCTTTTTAATGTTGGCTTTCATATGTTCATTATGGGTATCTAGAAATGCAGTTGTTTTTTATGCATTGAGTTGTATCCTGGCATCTTGCTGAACTCACTTATTCTGGGGATTTTTTTTATAGGTTCCTTGGGATTTTTACATAGACAGTAATGTCTTATACAAAGAGGAACAGATTTATGTATTCCTCTTCGTTTGCTTTTTTTAAAGCGTCTGTTTCCTATTGAGAGTCGTGTGTTTTCTGTCCATAGCCACACACCATGAGTTAATTGTTTTCTACTTAACCTTAGCCTCACTTAATGAGCATTTTTTTTTTTTTTCAGAAAGAAAGTTGTTACCACTTTCTGATGACTCTGTAATTATACCCTAATGAAGGCAAATCATTTAGGGTCTCTCCCTGGCTAATTATCATGTTTTTGTACACTACTCTTTTAGCATGTGCCTATCAAATCCACAATCTGATCAAATGACAGATTACCAAAAGTAATGGTCATTACCAAAAGTGATGGTCCTTTTAATGGTCATTCATGTTTATT